ATACTAGCTGCTATTATGAGGGACACAAATGACCAAATGCTACCAATTGCATATGTTGTTGTTGAGGGTGAAACTAAAGACTCATGGAGATGGTTTTTAGAGTTATTGATAGCTAATTTGTGAGGAGTCATATTGTGCAAAACTTATATCTTCATTAGTGATCAACAAAAGGTTAACTCTCACCTTGAATTTTATCTGTTAGCCAATTGTTTAAATATCACCATCAATTTTACTTATTTTTGAATGTAGGGTTTGCTGCCAGCTATTGATGAATTACTTGGTAATGTTGACCAGATATTTTGTGTTAGGTATGTTTACTTAAACCGTGCATTGCAGGATTTTATATATTCTGTTTACTTAAATATTGTATAGGATTTAGTTAACACTAATTACTTAAATTGTGCATTGTAGGCATTTATATAACAACTTCAGGAAGAAGTTTCTTGGCCTAAAACTAAAGGAATTGATGTGGGGGGCTGCATGTGAAAGTTATGTAAATGCTTGGGAGAAAATAATGCTTGAAATCAAGGGAGTTAATGAAGTGGCATTCAAGCATCTCATCAAAATTCTACCAAGATTCTGGAGCAAATCAAGGTTCATGCCAAGTACAGGATGTGACAATTTTGGTTAATAATATGCCTGAGACCTTCAACACTGTGTTTTTTGCTGCTAGATCCAAGCCAATTGTGACAATGCTTGAAGAAATTAGAGTGTATCTAATACATATATGATATGGGAATCCAATAGGCAAAAGATTGTCAAATATGAGGGCATCATACTACTAAACATCAAGAAGAGGATGGAAAGGGAGTAAAAAAAACCAATAATTGGATTGTGAGGTAACATGGTTGACTTGTTGTCCTTTTACTCTATTAAATGCATATGTTGAATATTATATTGGCTATCATTAAAATGAATACTTTTTTTACAGTCTTGCAGATGAATATGACTATGAGGTAAGGCATATTTCACTCAATGAAGAAAAATATGTTGTCAACCTTTACAGAAAAGAATGCTCATGTAGAATTTGGATGCTGACTGAACTTCCATGTTGTCATACAATGTCTTGCATGAAGGATCAACATTTATAGATTGATGACTTTGTACCTGACTGTTACAAGAAAGAAAAATATTCAGCTTGCTATACACCTGTTATTTATCCAGTTAATTGGGAAGCATTGTGGGTCAAAACTAGTGTTGTTGATCTTCTGCCACCACCAATAAACAGGCAGCCTGGAAGGCTAAAGAATAAAAGGCATAGGGAAGCTCGAGAAATGGTGAGGGATGAGACACACATGAAACGGGAAAAACCTGGTATCAAGTGTAGTCGTTGCCATAATGATGGTCACAACAAGGCCACTTGTAAACTACCACAACCACAAGCTCCTCCAAGTCAGGTACAAGAAGGAACAACTCAGGAACAAAGAGCAACAAATGTTTCAAGTCAGGTATAAGAGGAACAAATCAACCACCACCACCAACTGCTTTAAGCCAGATACAAGAAGGAACAACTCAGCCACCACCCAAAATGAAAAAAACTTCATAAGGGTGGCAAGCCTATTTCAAGTCAACCTTGATGTTTGTTACGATATCTAGTCACATTTTGTAATGTCATTTTGTTATTCCTTTTAATGGCTTATTGATAATGTCCTATCTGTTTTATTTTTGTATCACATTTTGGAATGTCATTTTGTTATGCCTTTTAATGGCTTATTGACAATGGCCTATCTGTTTTGTTTTTGTATCACATTTTGGAATGTTATATTAATGCATTATAATGGCCTTTTATTATTGAACTAGTTATGTATTAGACTTCATATTTGTTTATGGAAGTTGAAATGGCTAATAATGCCAAATTATCTTACTGTATGGTTTCCATTAAGTCCCTTAATTTAATAATTTGTTGAAAATTGATCTATTTATTATTTTGATTCATACTAATAAGATCCTTAAGCTACACTTTTAACACGTTAAATTTTGAGACAAATTTATACTAGTTATGTATCACAGATAAAACAGAGAATAATGAAGAAACATTGGTAATGTGTTGAAATAGACACTAACATGATTCATTAAACCAACTTAAGAATAAATTGAAAATGTGAAAGCATAACCTTGAACTACCCTAATTCTAATTGAAATACATTGTAACAACACACAAGGTTCAATCATAAGCTCAATATCCCAACCACAATGGACATTTTCAACCATCCTCTAGTGTAGATAGCCTCATTCTTCAATTTGTTAATTTTCTTCTTTTGTCTTTCAAGCTTCAAATCTCTTTCATCAACAAACGAATCACCTAATCACTTGAAGAAATTACAACCCTTATCCATGTGATTTCTGTAATTTCTACAACCCCAGAACTTTCTCCCATAGTTGACACTGTTCACATCATTAACAGTTCGAAGAACATTTTCATCTTGGCAAAAACACTCAATTTTCTTGTTTCTACGAAGCACATATCCAGATGTACCATAGCTTTGACTGTTTGATGTTGAAGCATTGCTTGTAATCTTTGACATTGAACCCTAATTTGGAGAAGAAAATGGAATATGGAAGATGATGATTTAACCCTAATTTGGAGAAGAAAATGGAATATAGATTATTATTATTATTATTTTTAAATAAAACATTATGTGAGGGCACTGGATTTAAAAAAATAAATTGATAACAAAATTATTATTTTAGGGTTAAATATGTATGTGGTTCTCTTAAATATTTTAAAATTCATTTTTAGTCTCTCAAAATATTATTTTCAAAGAATGATTCTCATAAATTTTATATCTATATTTTTGGTTCCTAATACTAAAATCGTTGTTAAATCTGTCGTTAATTCAGTTGTTAAGTAATAACATGTCGTTAAAACTGTCGCTAAGTTGTAAAAATCGTCGCTAAATTGTAGGAGTGATCAAAAGTGTGGATGAAATTTTTTAGGAGAATCATTCTTTGAAGAAAATATTTTGAAGAATTAAATATGAAATCTAAGATATTTAGAAGGACGATAAACATGTATAACTTTTTTTTTTTGATATTTTAGTTTTTGATTTTTTTTTATCTGAGATTTATTGCATAAATACGTTATTGGTGAATTCTTCTACAAATTTTGAATTATATTCATTTTATGCTTTTTTTAAAAATATTTTTTTACCGGATTTTTAAAATATAAAATTAAATATGTGAAGGTGTACCATATTTTATAAAAAAAAGTAAAATAACCACTTTTTAATACTACCTCCGATTTTTATTATAAGTCACTTTGAGAAAATATTTTGTACCACAATATAAGTCGTTTTATAATACCAATGAACTATTAATGTTATTTTTTCTATTATACCCTTAAATATTATTTATTCTCTCTCCTTTCAATTATGTAAATTTATCTATCCAATATCATTAATCAAAGACTATTTTGTAAAACCCTTCATTTTTTTTTGGATAAGCAATAGATTCTACTAATACGCACAAGGGGTGCAACCCGAACAACGACAAAACAATGAGAATGTTACTTCCGCTTTAGACAAATGATTGGAAAGTTAAACCATTCAAAGAAAGTACACCTAGAAGGAAGGTTGGCCACCAAACAAAACCACTTCCAAGTCAAAGTTTGAATGAAGTGAAAAATTTCATCAATGTCGAACATTTTACTGTTGAATATTACATTGTTTATGCCCTTCCAAATTGCCCAAACCACGACATACCAAATAAAGTTACCATTGTCGTTCCCGACCTCCTTCCTCAACTTGATCACAAATCTTATGTAAGAGGATGCACAACAGATATGGGTCTCCTCCTGCAGCCCTAGCCACCAAAGAATTCTCCTCCAAATGATGACCGCAATCAGGCATAAAAGAAACAAATGAGTAGCAGATTCAGTATAAAAATGACAAAGCACACAGCCTGAATCAGTACCTTCAAAAATAACACCTCTCTTGGCTAATTCGACTTTCATCGCCACTCTCCCCAAAGAAAGCCGCCAAGTAAAGATTTGGATCTTGGATGCATATTTGGAATTCCAAAGGATTTTCAGCGCCTTTTCCATGTTTTCGTCAACAAAATTGTTGTTATTAAAAAACTCAACCAGAGCAGCATAGCAAGATTTTATGGAATACCTTCTATTTTCATCTAGCTTCCACTCCTGGATATCCTCTTCACTAGTAATACAAAATTCTGACAGCAATGGATTGAGCTTAACAAGATCCACGTACTCTTCTGTTCCTTCGATGAAAGAAGGGAAAATAATCTTCCAATGCCAAGAATGATCACACCAATAACCAAGATTATGAATGTTGTTGTACTGATAAGGAAGGGCGATGTACAAATTTTGAAACACAACCTTCAGAGGACAATTGATCAACCAAGTTCAATTCCAGAAAGAAGTCCTACTGCCATCTCCCACCTTCGAACAAATACGAGTCGGTAAAAAAATCCACCACAGATTCCTTTATGCTGCTAGAATTCATAATGTCCTTCTACCAGATAGACTGATTACTACCTCCAACCGGTTTAGCGTAGCTCAGAACCTCGACAGCGATATTAGAACTCTGCGAAGCATACCTATGCTCCAAAATTACTCTCAATACCACTTCTTCCTTTGAAATCAATCTCCACTTCCACTTCATGAGAAGAGCTTGGTTGAACAAGGCAATATCCTTGATCCCAAGACCTCTATTATTCTTAGATAAACACACAGATTTCCAGCTTATCCAACGAATGTGTTTCCTGTCCGAGTTTCCTCCCCAAAGGAATCTAGATTGTAATTTAACAATCTCTTTTAGAATCTTCACAGGCGCCTTGTAAAAGGAAAGCGAGAAAGTAGGAATCGAGCTCAAAACTGAGTTGATCAGAACCACCCTACCACCAAGAGAAAGGTTTTTATTCCTCCAAACAGCCAACCTTCTTTTGAAAACATCCATAACAGCTTCCTAATATTTAGAGTGTCTAGGACAAGCTTCAACCATAATACCTAAAAATTTGAACGGAATGGACGTCACTCCGCATCAGAGGAAGTTTGAAGCAACTTCAACAAAGTCTCCCTTTAGGTTGATTCCACCAACACATCTCTTTGAGAAGTTGACCTTCAAACTTGTTACCATTTCAAATTCCATGAGAATGACCTTGATGTACCAACGATTATCCCAACTCCCCTTCCCTACTATTAGAGTATCATCCGTAAATTGCATTATACTATAAGTACATTTCTCGTTAACCTTAAACCCATGAAACATCCTTCTCTCCATAGCATTCTTCATAAGTTTAGTTAATCCTTTCATTACAATAATGAAGAGGAAGGGGGATAATGGGTCACCTTGCCGTAAACCTTTTCCCACTTTGAAATCCTTAGTGGCACTCCTGTTCACAAGAACCAACATAGTACCATCGAACATAAGAGAATCTATTCTCATCAATGATCTAAGAAAATCTAAATCGACACAATCATAAGATCTTTTGAAATCTATTTTTATAACGAAACAGTCCTTATTTGTTCGCTTTGCCAAGTCCAGCAGCTCGTTGACTACTACCACCCTGTCTAACATGAATCTACCTATCACAAATATCGTTTGTTCAGCCGAAATGAGACTTCTTGAAAGTGAGAAAAACACTTTGAAGGGGGGGTTGAATAAGAGTTTTAAGAAATATGGCAATAAAAACAACTCAAGATTTTTATCCTGGTTCGTTAAACTCAACTACTCCAGTCCACCTTATCAAAGATCATTTGCCTTTCTCTACAAGGACTTAATCCACTATTGATCAACTAATTACAATAGAAAGCACTAAGAGCAACTGTCTTAGTCTTCTCAAGAACTACTGACCACACCTTGGTCTTCTTAAGGAACTACTTACAAATTAATGTAAGCTAACAAGTGTTTGAATGCTTCTAATAAGCTGTATCACAACTGTGATGTATACACTTAAGATTAAGTACAACAAAAACTATATGGTTTTATGAAATATCAAATGAATAAGATCTTGAGAGATTTTCTCTTTTATGAATCAAGCGTGTATTTCTTTCTGAGTGAACTTGCAATGAGCAAAAAATGAGTAGTGAATTAGCAACCTCAAAATGTTGAAGTAGTTCTCCTTTTATAGCTTTTTCCAAATGCTTTGAGTGATGTGCAGCTGAATATAATATTTGATTGTATGACTTTTCATCACCAAAAGTATGGGGAGAGATATGCTTTCTGCAGAAAGGTATGGTTGTAGAAGCCTTGCGATTTGCACCACGTCACTTCTTTGGACAAATTAGCTGTTAGTTACTTTGGAAGTAGCACCACGTCTAATCAAGTTTACAACTTCTTCAACAAGCTTCCTTCAAGATGAAGTCTTCATAATCTGCACTTCAGAACTTGTAGTATGCTTAAAAGGTATGGAATGCTTTAAGATGATCAGAGCTTAAGATGAATGATAAGTTCAGAGCCTTGATAGATGATCAGATCTTAATGTATCAGAGTCTCAATCTTGATCAGAGTATGCAGCAGTATGTGCTAAGAGCGTGAATATTAATGATAAGAGTCTGATTGTCAAAGCCTAAACTTTTGTACACTTCAGATCATTCTGTAGCTTCTGCTTCAGATCCTTCTGGTAGCGCTTCAGAATCTTCTGATAGTCTTGCATTTGATGCTTCAGAGCTTTGCATAGTTTCTTTGTACTCATGTATTTTGCTTCTTTAAGAGTTTTCAATTTTATACCTGAAACAATAATACTTGAACAAATTTTAGAGTGTATATTTTCTTAATACAAAATTCCATAAAAGTTATCATCAAAACATAGAGATATAAGAAACACCAATCTGTGTTCTAACAATCTCCCCCTTTTTGATGATGACAAAACATAGGGAATTTTGTTCAATAAAGAGAAATAAAATATATAACTCCCCCTGAGATTAAGAATCTCCCCCTGAAATTAATACTCTAATAGAAGAGAACACTTCCCTTTTTGCTTGAGTATATTTTAGAACCTGGTAGAAATCCTTGTTGAGAGAAAGGATCAGAGCCTGGATGCTTTCCAGAATTAGAGTCTGATGATTTCTTTCAAAATAAAGAGTCTGGTAAATCTTCCAGATTCATAGTCAAATTTGCTTCAAGGATCAGAGCCTGGTTGGGTAATTCTCAGGGTAACTTCAGATCATTTTTGTCAGATGAGTTAATAAGATCTGAAAGTCTTAAGATTCAATGTTAGTTTAAAACAATGTCTGAATTTCATTTTAGTATTGCTTATGGATTGAACAATCAAATTCTCTTTCTCCCCCTTTTTTTCATAATAAAAAAGAATTTAAAGACAGAAAAGATAACAGAAGAAGAGAAAAACACAACACATAAATGAAAAACATAGCAGCTAGATTCATTCAGATCAAAGTAGCACAAAAAGCATAAGATGTTCATACAACAGATGATAGAAAAATAGAACACCAGAAAACAAGTGCAAAACACGAATGCAAGGACATGAAAAAGAAAACTAGGGCTGGCGAGAAGCAATCAAGGTCAGAAGATCAGTAATCTTGGCAGTGGACTCTTCTTGCTTGGCCATCCAAGTCTTGATCTCTTCAGTGGTCTGTTCCTGTTTTATCATCCATGTTCTGATTTCCTTGACCTCTTGGACAACATCTGGAATCTCAGTCTTCATCTCAGATGCAGAAGGTTCAGAAGTAGATGCAGTTGCCATTGGATGATCAATCTCCATGTCAGATGTAGGAGTATCTTCTATCATGGCAGAATCTTCAGCAGGAGCATCTTCCAGAAGAAGCATTGGGGTTGTTATAATGCTCAGCAGAGTCTGTCTGACCATTTCAGCAAACTTAGCCTTTGCATCATCAGCACAGAGTGTTCTGAGGTCAGATGCAGCAGAGTTGAACTTAGATATGAATCTGTTCCAAGAAGCTTCAGATTCAGTAGGATCCATACTAGCCATGCACTCTTTCTCCACAGAAGCAATCCCCATACGTATTTCCTTCTTGAAATTCTTGAATAGAGTAGAAACATCTGATCTGGGTTTTGGGTTCAGAAAGTCCTCTATGGTGACTGGTTGTGATGGTTCAAGAGGTGTTTGGTTTTGTTCAGGAGGTGGGTGATCAGATGATGGTTGTTCAGATTGTTGGGGTACGGATGGTTGTGGTTCAGATGGTTGTGGTATGGATGTTTGTGGTATGGTGAGTTGAGGAATGGAGGTGTCATCATCAGATGGTATTGATGTAACAACATCAGATGGGGGTGGTATAAAATCTGTGAAGTTGAATTTGAAGCGAAGAGGGTTGTCAGATGCAGGTAGGTCAGATGGTAATGGTTTATAAGGATCAGGAATTTGTAAGCTAGTTGGTGAGGGGACTTCAGATTCATCAGAATCAGATGATTCAGTTGAATGACATGAAGTTGAAGAGAGGACATACATGGTTGCAAGTGGTGATACATCCAGAATGTATTCAGATGGTTGTTGGACAAATGGTTCAGGATTTTGGATGGTTGGTTCTACTGGTGGTTGAGTAGTAGAGAGTGGTTCAGATTGTTTTTGTTGTTCAGAGGATTGTTGTTTTTGTGGTTCAAATTATGTTTGTTGAGGGGTTGTTGTTCAGAAGATTTTTGTTGAGGGGGTTCAGATGGTAGTTGAACATAAGATGGTTCAGAATGTTTGTGAGGAGATGAAATGGGTTCAGATGATTGATGTTCAGATGTTTTAGGAGGAGATGGTGGAGGTGAAGGTGAGGGTGAAGGGACAAAAGGTTTGGGATCAGATGTTAATACCTGTTGAATTGTTTCTCTAATTTCTTCCACAGTAGCTTCTGGAGGATTTTCCTTCTGCTTCTTGTCCTTCTCAGGTCTGTCAGCAGCATCAGAGGCTTTCCTCTTAGGCTGTGCAACAGATCCTTCCTTAGCTTTTCTCTTCCTGCGCCTTTCTCTCAGAAGATTTGGCAATACTTCTCCTTCCTTCTGTACTATGTTAGTAGGCAGAGGAATACCATCTCTTAAACATTCAACAATGTATGTCAGAATGATTTCCCTAGGTTCATCTGCACTGAACATGGGAAAATCTGCTAAAGGAATTCTCCTTCTGCTGACGTCTTTAGAGTGAAATTTCTTGGTTTTTCCAGCAAGCTCTGAAATGACCTTCATTCTTTTCAGAGTGTTCCCATTGGTAACAGATTCTATAACATAAGACAGATCATCTGTCACTCCAGCATCAAACAGATGTTTCACAAGACCATTCTCTGTTAGAATGTCTGATATCAATCTTCCCATAGGGATCCAAGTTCTGATTTTTCCAGCTTTAACCCTTACTTCTTCTCTTGTTTCTTTGATATGGTTCAGAAGATGACTGGACAGAAGATAAGGTAAATCCACCTTCTTTCCTTTACTTATACAGAACATGAAGTACATTTGTTCTGAGTTCACATTATCTGGTGAGTTAGAAGATTTCCTGTGAAAGATAGAACTCATGAAAATCTTGGCCCAGATTCTGTAAACAGGCTTCAGATCTCTGACCTTGTTGGATGGCTCGCCAGAAACACAAACTTCTTGAAAAATGTCAGCCAAATCCACACGATCAGTAGCCATACTTGTGTTTCCCTCAGTTTCCTTATACTCAAGTAGTTGTCTGATTAATTTTTCAGTGATGACAATTTCCTTCCCAAGAACAGATGAATGAATGAACTTAGGGCAAACTTGAGCGTTTATCCAGAATTCCTCCACTAAGGTTGGATAAACAGGACCCATCATCCTGTCAAAATACTTTTCCCAGTTCTGAGTTTTGATGGTTGAATAGAGATCAAAACCATTTTCTTTGATGGATTCAAAATCCACAAAGTTCTCACACAAAACTTCAAGTTCTTTGATTGGAGTGAGAAGAGTTCTCACAGGTGCTTTGTACACAACAGCAGTTTGGGATGAACCAGCAGTATTTGGAGATGATGCAGCAACAGTTGAAGTTTGCATCTGAGCAGATGTTGAAGAAGGTGAATCCATTGATGTTCTTGAGATGCGTCTGGGTTTACGAGAGGTTTTGGGTTTTGAAATACGATGGAAGCAATAGAGAAGACAGAAATGCATATGAGAAGTGAAGAGAGTGTAAAGTGTAATTTGTGAAGTGTTGTGAGAATTTATAGAGAAATTTAGGCATGCAAAAAGACACACAATCTCACGCGTACACACAAGCATTGAATGAAGTGAAACATAATCATATCAAGCAATTAATGCAAAGAATAAAATCATATCAAACATTTAAGATTCTGACAGAAGGGGGGAAATCAAGAGATTTTGGATTTTCAAAGCAATACCTCAAACGTCACTTCAATATGGTGCACTCTACCTTTCCAGATTCTGAGCTACACGTGTTTGCTTGCATGTGCCTCTGAAACTCTTTGAGAAATGAAACGTTAGGTAAC